TTAAAGTACCCAGACTAACACAGGAAGGGAGGGCACAGTAGTGGTCCAGTCTCCTCAATGCAGCGCAGCCATGTACGGATTCCCATCACCGGATGGACCCTTCCCTTAGTGATCCTCGCATGGCAAAGGAACAGATGCTGGGCCAGTCTGAGGCCTCATCCCAAGGGATTCTTTCGGCAATTCACCTCGAACACCCCACCCCACCACCCACTGCCATCAAGTCAACTCCAACTCTGAGTGACCCTATCGGGCAGAGTAGGATTGGCTTGCATTTCTGAGGTTCAAATCTATGCTGGGGCAGGCAGACTCATCTTTCCCCACCGAGTGGCTGGTGCACCACTTAATCCACTACACCAGTAGGGGTCCCGAAACAATAGCCCCGTCTTACGAAAAATCCACAGGGATATGCTGAGGTTGCTTTGGGCCAGCACCCTGCTCCAGAGCCCGGGTTCCTGACTGAGTGCCCGGACATGCCTTACATTTGCTTCCATAGCAGCGCCCTCCTCGTCCTTGTCCCAGCCTCTGCCCTGATTCCACTACCATCCTCCCCAACATTGCCACATCCCAATGCCCTCCTAGTCCCCACCCCACGCTGGCCCGAAGGCCTCGGTCACTGCTGTGACTTCCCTGGAGGAAAGAGTCTGCTTTGAAGGTCTTCCCCGCTGTCTCCCTGGGGCTTTCATCCCTCGGAGCCTGGTAAACACGAGCACCCAGAAAGGCTGCAAGCTTGAATGCGAGCCTCCCATAAAAAAGACCCACACGTGTTTGTAAAGTGTAGGGGCTGTCATTCTCTGTTCATTCGCTTTGAACCTACCCTCTTACATCTTTTTCTAAGAGAGAAAAAGGAGGGGGGATATCCCACAGAAACAAAAAGTGTGTTCTCTTCCTTCCAAAAAGACTTCCTGAGAATCAAGACCTCTCAAATGGATCAGAACTGGGCCACCTCAGCAGCCCCTTCTCTCTCTCACCATCTCCAGAGGGAGGCCTGCTGGAAGCACATCCGGAGGGGGGTGAATCGGAAGGGCATTCAGTGGGAGGCACTTTTCACTTGGGTAGCCTCACAGATGCTTGGTGCGGTGACCTTAGCTTGCTTTAGAAAACCAAACAAAGTGAAACTTCCTTACAGACCTGGAATGTGATTCAAAGCCACTTTGTGGTTTTTAAAGTCAGAACTCATAGTCCTGTTTCCTCACCATCAGCCAAAAGGTGTTTCAGAGGCAGGAGATACCAGAACACAGAAAAGTCCATCTTGCCCCTCCCCTCTCCTGGCCAGGCCCTGCCACCTGGGTGGGTTAGTTGGTTGGTTGGCTGGCTGGTTGGCTAGTTGGTTGGCTGGTTGGATGACTGGCTGGTTGGCTGGCTGGCTGGTTGTATGGCTGGTTGTTGGCTGGTTGGCTGGCTGGTTGACTGGCTAGTTGGTTGGCTGGTTGGCTGGCTGGTTCATCGACTGGCTGGTTGGCTGGTTCGTTGACTGGCTGCTTGGCTGGTTCATTGACTGGCTAGTTGGCTGACTGGTTAACTGGTTGGCTGGCTGTTTGACTGGTTGGCTGTTTGATTGGTTGGTTGGCTGGTTGGCTGGGTGGTTGGTTGACTGGTTGATTGCCTGGTTGGTTGACTGGCTAGTTGGCTGGCTGGCTGGTTGGCTTACTAGTTGGTTTGAACTTTACATGCATGGCAGTAAGGTTTAGAAGGCTAAAGATCATCCTTTCTCAGTGCTTTCTTTGTGATTCATGGACTCCTTCCACAGACAACAACAGAATGTAACACAGTAAGAAGGACCAGCCAAAATCGGGTGTGAGTTCTGACTCCATCAGTGGGTAGCTGCATCACTTCTGGTCAATGACTTAATTTCTCTAATATTAATTTCCTCATTTGTTAGTTTCCTGTCCACAATTGCCCTACTTGCCTGCCAGTTTTTTTGGAGATGAAAAATGTTCTAAATATGTCTGGCCTTGACAAGACACTCAGTAAAGTTAGTCCCCATCCTCTTGCTACCACTCCCCCAACAAGCCAAGGACCTGAGAAGGGCCCAAGGATGAATGAAGCAGAGCACACAGTAAAGAGAGGGAGGTGACAGGGACATGAACGGAGCAAACATCATGGCGGGGGTAGAGCTCAGGGGTCCAGACAGCAAGTGGGGCACTCTGGGGAACGAAGGTCTCTTTCCAGTAATGTGGTAGGGAAGACAAAAGACACCTCAGATTGGGCCCTCCATGCTGAGGCATCTGGGATGCATGCTCACAAATACCCCCAGGTAGACTGACGCACCTCAGGAAATCCAGTTGCTTCAGGAGCCCAGACTTCTCTCGCTGCAGATTCTCCTTCACACGGTACACTTCCCTGCAAGGGAGGTAAGCACAGCAGTTGTGAGTGACAGGGAGGGGAGGGAACTACCAGGATGTGAAGTGAACTTCCTGATCAGCTGCCCTGCATTGGGCACAGAAGGACTTAGGGACAGCGGGCCATCATCTAGAGAATACTTAGTATGTGCAGGTTTTCCTATCCACCATCTTGGTAACCTCATAGAGAGGAGTTGGGAAAGGAAGGGAAGAGATAAAACAGGAATTGGGTGATTTTAGGAAAGGAGGGGGTGGTGGTGTTACAGACATTTACAGACAATGACAGTCCAAGGGGGTAGATAGCTCTCCAAAGATTAGAGGCAGACCACTTGGCTACCCTGGGGTGCTAACTGAAACCTCTCTTCCCAAATTCTCCTCATTCCATCACCACTGTGTCATACTGCCACCTGCACCATTTCCCCAGGCACCAAATGATCCTACCTTACCCAGACTTCAAGTGAGTGGTAGTCAATGCTCTCCTCCAGCCTGATCTTCAAGGATGTGAGTAGAACTTCACACACACACACACACACACACACACACACACACACACACACCCCCCACCCCCACCCCCAAGGTGCTGATTGTGGAAGAATCTCTCCCCCGTCTCCAATTCCCCCTCAATGTCCAAAATATCTTTGCAGTTATCTGGAATGTTCAATGTTAGGCATTCCTTTCTTTGACTTGTGCTGTTAGGTACCATCAAGTTGGTTCCCACTCATAGCGACCCTGTGTACAACAAAATGAAATGCTATCCAGTGCTGTGCCTGCTCACAATGGTTATGTTTGAGCCCATTGTTGCAACCACTGTGTCAGCCCCTCTTGTTGATGTTCTTTCTCGTGATCACTGCCCCTCTACTTTCCCACTCATGCCGTCCCTTTCCAGAAACTAGACTCCTGATAAGATGTCCAATCACACGTTTCTTTGACTGAGGATGACTTATCTCTGGCGCCAGCTCAGAGGCTTGGTGTATCATATGTACACACTCATTGAGATCATGCTGTGAACATGTGATCATAGCAAGAATTTTGAGGAAGGGGAGAGAGAAGTAGAGAGAACCTTATGGGCGGTTAGCCTGGGAGTCAGCCTGTGTCGTCTCTGTTTACATCTGTATCCTCAACAATGTGCTCAGCATGGGGCTTGTTATGGAATGAATTGTGTGCCCTCAGGTACATATCAGGCCAGGACCCTCCATTTTGTGATCTGATGTAATTATCTTCTTGTGTTACAAAGTGTAACCTCTACCCTGTTGATGATGTGCGGTTTGTGTCAATGACGCTAAAGACACAGGATGTAATCTAGAGGACCAGGTTGTCCCTTGAGTCTATTTCTTTTGAGATACAAAAGAGATTAAACAAGCGAGCAGAGAAGAGGAGGCTATACCTCCAAGGGAAAAAGGGTAGGAGTGAAGTGCACCCTTGGACCCGCCTCCCAGCTCTGAGAACCTCCAGACCCAGGGGGAAAGTGCTACTAAGTCACATGGAGACCTCCAGAGAAGGCTGGGGCCAATGTAGACCCTCCTTCTAAACCAGGAGCCAACAGAGAGAAAGCCTGCCTCATGAGTTGGCACCCTGCAGGTGGATGTCAAGCCCACAAACATGCGAGCGAATAAATGTATGTTTGTTAAAGCCACTTATGGGAGGTCTAGACCACTGAGGCAGGGCTGTCGTCAACATACAGTCCAAGGAAGGAAGGAAGGAAGGAAGGAAGGAAGGAAGGAAGGAAGGAAGGAAGAAGAGGGGAAAGGCAAGAAAGAGGAAGGAGAGAAAAAGTAATTCGGACAGAAGAAAGGACAGAAGGGGAGGTGCCCTGCACCACAGCGAGAAGAAAGGAAAGAGACCAAGCAGGATTGTGGTGACATTGGAAAGCTTACTTAATTAAGCATACTTAATTTCCTAATTCTGCCATGATCCTCCCCCTGCATTTTGCATCATGATTTAGAAAAAAATCAAATCGCCCCTGACTGCAAAAGTCCCACATGCCCAACCACAGCCCCGCTTGCACCTCGCAGGGAGCATCTCCCAGCCAACAGCAGCCGCACTTACTGTGGCCTGTTGGGGCGGCTGGGGTAGCATGCCCACTAGGCCGGCCGAGGAGGGTCACCCCTGTGCCACCTCCTCAGTGAATTTACAGAGCTGGCAAAACCCCATGCCAGCACACCGGGTCTGTAGGACTCCCCCACCAAGCTGATAATAACCTGCTTCGTTAAGAGGTATCTGTGTGGTTTTCTCTTCCCCATACCAAATAATTAAAAAGTCCATTTGCAACCATCGCGGACTAAATCAAATTCTCAGTTCACCTCAGAAAATCCTAATGAAGCAACAAAACTTCTCTGGCTCCTGTGGAGCTGCAAACTCCTAACATTTTATTACCAATTATATTTCATTTCAACTTCAGGGAAAACAATGTATTTCCCATTATCCAAACCAGGCTCCCAAAGCCCTGCTGACAACTCTGCTCTGATTGGTACTCCATGAGCGGGGCCGCCTGGCTCTGATACTGGGGGTTGCCTGTGCCCAGCTTTAGGGTTCCTCTGACTCAACGCCGGGCGGGCTTCTCTTGAGGGGCAGACAGCTTCTCCCTTGGTACTGGAAACTGCTCATTGGTTACCAAATATCCAGGTTCTCACAGGGTGTTGACTGAGTAGGCAATTCCTGCATAAGAAAGTGACCCGGTATTCCTGGACCCTACCGATCAACATGGAAGCAGTCACTGGAGGTAGACCAGCACTCGCACTCACACAAATACGCTGTTGCTACGTGCTGGTGCATCATTTCCAACTCGCGAAGCTCCATGCGACAGAGCACCACTGCCCCATAAGGTTAACTTGACTGCCATTGTGGTAGTTACATAATCTGGTGCCAACTTGAGACTATTAAGAGTGAAGGGGTAGGTAGAGTTTAACCTGTCAATCAGGTCACTGCTTGATGACCTCCTTTGGAGGCGCTGTGGAGATAAATGGCTCCCTGGAGGTGAGACACACACATTCTCTGCTTCGTATTCCTGATGACAAGACACATGGAGCTACTCTACAGCCCTGGAGCTGGCGGAGCCACGTGGAGACCCCTACCAGCCCTGAGATGCTTCCACCACCACTGGATCCTCAAGACTTTCCACCCCCTGCCTGTGATCTTTCTTCCTGTGACCTTTCTTCCTGCATGCAGTGTCATTGCATGTGCTGCATGTGTCTGAAGAATTTATAGACTGGTAACAGACATATGGGCTGATATCAGATTTATGGACTTAACCTGGACCAGGCTGGGGTGTTTTCTTAATGTACAATTGCTCTTTACTATAAAGTTATCTCGTACACACATATCCGTGTCTCTGGCTTTGTTCCTCTAGTCTACCCAGACTAACACAGCCATCTTCATGGAAACAAGGCACAGGTCTTTCTTCCCCAGAGCTGCAGGGGGATGACCTTTCAGTCAGCAGCTAAGTGTGCTTCAGGTCGTTGTGCCACCAGGGCTCTGTGTATGAGCACTTACACACACGTGTGACGTGCTGATACAGAGCCACCCCAAACACTGCCGTTGAGCCGATGCTGACCCGTAGCGGCCCTAGAGAGAGGGTAGAACTGCCTGTTGGTTTCCAGGCTGTGACTCTGTGGGAACAGAAAGCCTTGTCTTTCTCCGGCAGAGCAGCTGGGGTTGCTAACCACCGACCTTGAGGTCAACGGCCCAACACATGTGTATTTGGATAAATAGATATCTCTCCGGAAAAAAGTTCCTATGAATATATGCGGTGATAAGCATTTTTGTGTTGACCAAAAGAGAAGCACTTCTGGAAAAAATGACTTCGCCAAACCAACCAACCAACCAACCAAAAACCACGGTGAAGACAACGGAAAGACAAGCTACCAACAGAGAAAATATTTGTAAAACACATTTCTTTTATCCTTATCTCTCCTTCACTTTTCGTCACTCTGCCCTCGGTGTGCTCCATCACACTCGCAAATACATCCACAGCAAAGAGCCGCACGTTCTCCGTGAAACTCACACCCGCATCCGCGCGCATGCGCCCACTCGCCCGGCCCCACCTGCTCAGCCTGCGCCAGGGTCTTTCCAAGCTTCTCCTACGAAGACCACAGCTAGCGCAGGAGCGCATCCGACCACGGCCTGTACCTCTGTTGTTAGCAACTTGACACATTAGATAAGAGTCTTTGGGAGTGTGTTGGTCTGGGCAGACTAGAGAAACAAATGCATAGACACTCATATGTGTATAGGAAAGAGCTTCATATACAAGAGCAGTTGAATATTGAGAAAACATCCCAACCCAGTCCAGATCAAGTCCATAAGTCTGATATTAGCCCCTGTGTCCAATTCCAATCTATAAAGTCCTCGTCAGACTCACATGCAATGTGAGTAACACATGCAATGACGCCAAATGCAGGCCAGTGGGTAGGAAGTCTTGAGGATCCAGTGGTGTTGTAAGTATCTCAGCGTTGGCAGGGGTCTCCACGTGGTTCTTCCAGCTCAGGTCACTAGCATAGTTACATGTGTCTTGTCAGCTGCAATGTCTCCCAAGGAGTGAGCAGAAAGAGAGTGTCTCCCGCCTCCAAGGAGGAAGACAGGAGTTTCCAGAATCCTCAGGAGAAGCCCATTCCCACACAGAGACCTCATTGTCTATCACCTGATTGACAGGCTAGAATCCACCCCTACACTCTTAATCTTCTCAAATGGACAATTATATAACTACCACAAGGAACAATGAGTGCATCTCACTGAAGGAGGACAACTCAGTAACGAAGGGTAAGAATATATGCATATCGTGAAGAATGTCAATGAGCTGCGCACGCAGACACTTGAATTGTGTATGTTTTTGTGGTGTTTAGTCCCAACAAAAGGACCCCTGGTGGCAAAGGGGGTTATACAGTGGACTGCTAATCTCAATATTAGCAGTTCAAAACCGCCCGCTTCTCCTTGAGGAAAAGACAAGGCCTTCTACTTTCAGAAAGAGCTACAGTCTTGGAAACCCACAGGGACAGTTCTGTTCTGTTC